CCTAATGCATGTAACAACCAATAGTATGAAGCACGACGTGTCTCAAACTCAAGAGTACACAGCTGCATGAGACGTTGCAAGATTAGAAAATATTTCAAATAAATAAATGAGTTGTCACATAACTATACAAGGTCATTACCATAACTTGAATCAACACCACTGATAAACTACAATGAAAATGCATCAAGAAAATACACAGTATGTCACCTTGGTAAAGAAAAATGAATAGATTACCCTGGCAAGTCTAGCTCAATAAACAAAAATGTAACTAGTAATCTTAATAATAGTTAGTGAATAGTTCATTAAAACAGTCACAGCAAAAATATGAAAGTAAAACTAGAATCACTAGGTCAAAGAATTAAACCAGACTCCTATTTAATTGATCATCAACATAACCGACAGCTTGAGATCAACAAACAGGTTTGCAATACAAGGCAAAAATACTAGAGCCAATATGCTGTAGGATATTGCCATACATATTACTATACGAAAACCAGTCCAAATTGCTTACATCACTTGAATTATACATGGCACACTTATCAACAAAACTCCACTGCTTTAATGAACAGTATATTGTGTACTACCCAAAACTGCACATTATATCAAATGATTATATTTGGGGGTTAATATGATTTAAATTTTAAAAATCATAAAATAAATATTACTACAGGAAGAGAACTTGGTGTCTAAGCTTCTTAAGCTTTATCTTGATATATTCAAACATTATCAACTTTGCCAAAGGATAAATAACTACAAAAACCATATCTTTAAATATAATACAGTAATAAAACTACACAAAAGTTAGTGGATGAAACTTACTGAATGTGTGACATTCTCAAGTGAATCCACAATGCAGTGAGCATAATCATAACTTGGGTAGATACACCATTTGTCTCCAGCATGAGGGTGTGGAGTAAACTAAAGGCAGAAAGGATTCACACCATAAGATACTACTGTCTCATTTGAATTTTGTGAAATCAAACATATATAGGTGTGGCCTTACCTTAATTCTGTATGCAATGAGGTCATACATATTGTAGTTATCGCTCTGCATGTCTTGCTTCATTCGAAGTGTGGCTTTTCCTTCTTCTATAAGACCACTTCTCATATCTTCAAAAAGTTTCAACGATTCTGAAACTGGTCTGTCTCTCCAGGGACTGTTCAACTTCTTCTCCCTATACTCCTTTATTTCATCAGGTGTCTACAACCAAATCATAAATTAACAATGCTCATTTTATTACAACTAGTGCAAATATTATAACTTAAATAATGTAATTATCTCATCTCCATAAGTTACTCCACATTAATTATTCCATGTTAAATTATACATTCCACGCAATCCAGATTCTCAAAGCCCGATTCAACTGCCAATTGTCAAAGTGTTCAGTTTTGGTGCTTCAAATGACTCAGTTACAGTCAATACATCTAATTAAAGCCACCAGCCACCATAAAGGAAGAACCTATTGAATATTTAATAACATAAATGAACAACTTAGCATTCATTACATGTTGAGTTGGATACCAACCTGATGATCAACATAAGCACAACCCTTTCTTATGAGCTCCACAGCTAATTCATACAGTTCTTGGAAATAATCACTTGTGTAAGTAATCTGCACAAATGTGGAGCTGTTAACATCTAAAAAACTAGGTTGGAACAACAAAACAGGTGCCAACAAACATACCTTGAATGGTTTCCACCCCATCCACTGGACAATTTCTTCAATGTGATCAATATACTCTTTCTTTTCTGCTTCAGGATTTGTATCATCATACCTGCAAGTGCCACAAGCTATAAACCTTGGAACAAAAAATTGTATGACGAACATCCAATCATAGGGATCTGATGAAGGGCTGGCATTATATAGCTTTTAAACATGAAAAATTTGAGAAAAATGTCAACTCAGAAGGAAAATTTGAGATCAGATAATGGACATCAATCTCACTTTCCCATTTAGCTTGTTAATTCACAGTGTAACTATATATAGTTACAAAGTGATTAACAAGCTAAATGGGCTTGAGTATAAGGCTCAAATATCCCAAGCGGTGAAAACCCATAGTGTAACAATAATATATCACCAACCATATTTGTTTCAGGCCTTCACCAACAACCTCTATCACTTTCAGCAGAAGAAACTCTGGTTCGTTAACAATATATTAAATAAAAAGAATAAAAGAAATACACACCTCAGATAGCAACCTCCATCTCTGTCTTTTGCCAGACCAAAATCAATAAACATTGCCTGAGCAATAATTATTTATTTTATAATAATATATCACAGGGGAAAAAACAACTATTTAGAAGTGCAAATTACAATGTAGCATAGCATACCTTTGCATGACCAATATGCAAATATCCATTAGGCTCAGGAGGGAATCGGGTCAAAACTTTCCCACCTGTTACTTTCAAGTGCTTGTCAAGAAGCGCCTTTGTATTGCAACATCTCAGAATAGAACCATCACTAAAAGGAACTTCAGTATGCACCTGAAATCAACATAATACTCGTGATGTGTGCAAATGCAAGCTAATTAAAACACACAATTTCAAGTTGAAGCACAAATACTGGAAGCAAGGAAATTCCATAATTGTGAAAACCATGCATGAATAATATCCCAGGTCAGAAAGGTTAATTAAGTTTAGCAGACAGACCAATGAGTGGAAAGACATGAATGTCATGAGCAAGCACAGACCTTAGTTATATCTGAAGTGGCTCCATACGAGATACGCACTCTAACAGTGAATAATACGTTCACAGCATGAACAGAACAGAATGAAGCTGCATTTAATTTTTAAAATAAAGAAATTAAATACCTTCAAATTCTCCTCGGGATTAGGGAATATCGAATATGGATTAAGATCTTCTTCAGATGCCTTTTCAGGAGTAGCAACAGGTGCTGCCGTATCCTAAGAATCCAAGTGGAGTTGAAATAACTAGTAAGCTGAGTGATAAAAATGTAACACCAATGAGGTAAACAGCTGTAAACAAACTCACCTCTACTTTAGCAGGCTTCTCCTTCTTCTTTTTAGAAGGTTTTTCATTGTCAGCTGCTGTTTTATCACCAAGTAGTTCATATAATTTTGCATCAACGAGTTGCTGAGACATGAAAAATGAACACAACAAAACAAATATCAACAAGACAAATATCAACAAGACCTGTAATAATAAATTAACCATCCAACATACTATATTCATCTCATAGCTATCACCTTCACAGCTTTTGCATCAGCCCATGGGAGCCTTTTCCGCACGTGCCCAAGTAATTCACCAACTAGTAAGATAGAGATTAAGACATCAAAATTTCTTAATTTGAGCAGATTAAAAATTCAAACAAAAGCAAAAATCATAATTATCGAATCCATTAGACGGGGAAAATTCTACAAATACCATTTGTTCGATAGCGTAGTTCCAGAATTGAAGCCTTGTTCTCCTCAAAAACTTCATTAACAGCATGTGTGATATCTTCTGTTGAAACCTCAACACCTGCACATATATCATATTATATCATATTATATCATATATGCATAAAATTGAACTCCAAAAGTTGCAACACAACAGAACTCCAGAACTAAAAGCTGATGCACAAACTAATTGAAATAAAGCTATACTCTCAAAAATAAGACATAAACTGCTGAAGTTTACCCTATTGAGAACATAAACAAAAATGAACTGACATAAAGGCTAATTGAACATTAAGGTCATTTTCATATGATAATGGAAGTTCTTTCTACAAACACCAAACCACACCACAAAGCTTAAGATCAATTTTATGTAAAAAAAAACTGAAGTTCTATCTATCATACCAACACCACAAGCTTCTTCAAATTTATTCAAATCAAGATTCTCAACTCCCGTAGTAGCAAGAAAAGATAGTGCCGCGTCCAACTGTGCTGTTGTTTTCACCTGCAATGATAATCTGTGTGAGAAAGATAATAATCCCAATGTAAAAATTCACCCAAAAACCAATAGACAAACAAGTAAAAAATATGCAATCATACATTAACATCAAATACATGACAATCCTACAACATACAGAGACAGCAAATCCAACAATTTATAGCACACACCTTGGAAGAAACTACATATTGCAGCAATGTTGGGCGATGCGGCAAGGCATTTCCAGGGTACTTGGTTGCAACCTACAACATTCAGTTATAGATCAATGGATAGAGCAATTTCAGCTATTAAAATTCAACTTTCTCCATAATGTTTATCAAATTTGATTAAATAATAAACTACCAAATACAAATGAAAATCGTTATTTGAATAGCTGAAATTAACAATGCAAGCTGCAAAAAAAATCCAAACATAAAAAACTAAAAAGTCCTCAACAGTACTATAAACTTGAAGAGTTTCAACTCCTAATTGCTGCATGCAAAATGAAACACATATAACTCACCGTATAAATAAGGTTTCCAACCGATCGGCTGCATCCGTCGGTAACACCGGCCTTAAAACAAAAAAGAAACACAAAAAAAATCAAAAATTTGAAAGGAGAGAGCTCAAAATTAGAAAGAATATACAATATAGAATGAAATGAATACCTCGTGGATAACAGCAGTGAGATTGGTAGTGACTTTGTTATTGGCGATGGTGTTTCGAGCTGTGCGTTCGTCTAAACCGATCTTTAGAAAGAGATCAAGAGACTTCTCTTTCTCCGAGCTATCTTCCTTCGCAGGCATCTTCTTCTCACGGACTCCGATTGAAGCTAGATGAAAATTAGGGTTTTGCGGGAAGAGGGTAAGAATCAGGCAGCGTTGTTTTAATCACTGGTTAATGGTTTAACAACTGAGACAAAACTTAATCACGGATTTACCCGATAATGAATATATAAATAAAATATTAAATAGTACTAATAAAATAACAATTATGTTATAATTCTATTTATTCTAATTATAACAAAAATGCAAATAACAAGTTGGTGTTGACATTAACACAAACAGAAAGTAAACAAGAAAAGGGAATCGCAAAGTTGAAGGAAACGCATGCAGAGTAGAATGAATGGCAGAAGGAATCGTGCGAACCGTAGTGCGAAGCGAAGGTGGCGTTGCGGCGTGCAGAAACAGAGACGGAACTGAGGAGCGTGCGAGCTGGAAAACAGTGAAAAGGAAACAGAGAAGAGTGCGAAGCGGGGAGGAAGTGACGCCGGCGGCGTTAACAGAATTGAAAGGATTTGGGATGGTGAGAAACTAGTGTCGGGAAATAGAAATTGTCCTCTATTTTTTTGGGGGGTGTGGATAAAAGTGTAATAGAAACCGGACCGTTCGGTTCAATCAGTTGGACCGCGAATCGGAAACAGATTGGACCGTGAATCGGAAACAGATTGGACCGTGAATCGGAAAACCGCGATGTCGGAAAACCGGCAGCAAACCAGTGTAGGCGGTCAAAATCGATAGTTCAAACGATTTCCTTGGTTGAACCGCTTTTTTAGCTTTTATATCATCTTGCTTCACAGTGGCTATATACAAGTTTCGGAATAAAATTAGTAGATTTAAATAGGCTTTTATCTCCGTAAGTTACTGACATTTTTATTTGTCTTTATATGTGGCTCATATTTTATTTATTTATATTTATTAAATGTAGATAATTTATTATTATTTAGTTATTTAAAAGTTAAATGATAAATTTTCAAAGGCTCGTAGTATTAATGCCTCCCTACTAAGTCAATTGTGTTGTTTTTTTAACTAAATAAGAATAATTTTATTTTAAAAATTTAATAATTTACAAGTCGATCTAAAGATTCAGACAGTTATTTAAAAGTTAAATGATAAATTTTCAAAGGCTCATAGTATTAATGCCTCCCTACTAAGTCAATTGTATTGTTTTTTTAACCAAATAAGAATAATTTTATTTTAAAAATTTAATAATATATAAGTCGGTTCAAAGATTCAGGCAAATCAACTTACAAACAAACTAAAACAAATAAAATAGACTAGCCAAAATCAAATTTCAAACTTAGTGCAGCAACTTGCCAATTTTCTATTACACGCAGCTCTCCACTCAACATTTTAGATGATATCTTCGTTTTATGAGCATACGGGCACGGACACAAAGACACCGATAATATAAAAAATATAGGACACAAACACAGCTATATATTTTTTATATATTAATAAAATAATATTGTTTATGAACATAATTTATGAAGAGTCTAAAATGAGAACTAAATTTTATATCTATTTAAACTTAGTATTTTTAATTAACCAAAAAAAAAACTATAATTGTATACTTTCAATTAAGAAAAATTATCTAAAACAAAAAGATACAAATCATATCATAGTCACTCCACTCCATATTGAGAAAATAGACCTCTAAATCTGACTCATCCAAAGACAAATAACATATAACATATCTAATTAACATATAACATTTTTGTAATTAACATGAAACATAAACAAAAAACAGAGACAATATATAAATAACAATACGAGTGAAGCGATGTCGCCGACATATGTAATTAATAATAGGAAACAGAGACAAATAATAAAAAAAGAAAATGAATGAGTATCAGAAGAGAAATAGTGGAATACCGACGGTGGTAACAATGGAATACTGGCATGCGACGGAGATGAAAACAAACAAAGAAGATGAAAACAAAAAGAGAACATGAAAAAACAAGAAATACAAGTTGTTTTTATAGTTGGAAAGTGGAATATGAAAGGTCAAAAACGTTTATTTTTTTAAAATTTCAGAATTTGAGAGGTTGGAGTATTTGTTATTTAAAATAATGTGTCATATATGTGTCCGTTGTGTTTCAAATTTTTTTGTTTGACACTACAAAAACATGTCTAATACGTGTCATACGTGTGCCGGTGTCCGATACGTGTCTAGTATGGAAACACGCCTTCTAATTGACGTGTCAAATCTTCATAGTTGGTTGTTCTATCTTAGAAAATAACTTGGTTCCTAATGGTCCAAATTGAATACATTGTCTCAACAAGCGTCATCTTCAACATACGACATACCACTTTGACAATTTTTCGTGGCTATAACTTTCAGGGTTATCATGGTATATGCAATTTCCATTTGTTACAGTCTCAAAGTGCAAAAATTTGTCCTTTGTCATTTGTTGTTTGTTTATTATTTACAATGCATGTGTATATAATGAATGTTAGCGATAAATATTTTATTATAGTAGTAGCAAATTGTTTTTTATATTGTAATGTTAAATTTTGTTTAAAATGTTAAATATAGTTAAATAATAATTAAAATATTTTAAATATTAACATGAAATGTTAAATTAATTAATTATTTAATAATATTCTGAATTAATTATTTCAAATAATTGTTTCGTACTTACTTTGAAATATTTTAACTATTAAATATTTTATGTTATTTTGACTATTTAATGTTTATTAGTCTTCAATTTAAAATATTAATAATTAATTTAACAAATTAAATTAAATAACTTAACTATTTAATATTTTAGACATAATTAAATATATTGCATAAAAATATTTCAATTACACGTTAATTAAACTATTTAGTATTATGAAAAAATAAAATATTTAATAAACACTTAATGAGAGAACTGACTCCCAAACTAGATCATATCGATAGTGAAAACTAAAAAAATATATTTAATAAACACTTGAAATATTTAATAAAATGTTAATATTTAATAAACTAATAAAATTTCATCTAATAATATTTCAACTATTAATATTTTAAATATCGTATTTATTAAATAATTAGCTTATTTAATATTTTAATTATTTAATATTTCAACTATTAAATTTAAATTATATAGTTTATTAAATAATAATAAAAATATTTCAACTATTTAATATTAAAAATATTCAATCATATTTTTGAAATATTTAATAAAATAAATAGTTTAGTTTAGTTTAACTATTTAATTTATTAAATAATTATTTAATTTGATATTTCAAGTATTTAAATAGTTTAGTTTATATTACCTATTTAGTATTTTAAATATTCCAACCATTTAATATATAAATATTTTAAAAATATTCAATCACATTTTAAAAATATATTTAAATATTTTAAAAAAATTGTCAAAAAAACTGAACACAGTATTTTAAAAGTTTCCAATTACAAAACAAAACTTAATAACAGAACTCAAAAGAAAACAAAACTTATTTCAAAAATAAATTAGTGCATATATCTATAATGTATACACATGCATTGCAAATAATAAACAAACAACACAAATGGCTTAGTGGAGGGAAATAAATGCTATAAGAAAGGCAGAGTTTCTTATTAATAAGCATAAAGATATTATTTTTCTTAAAAAAATTATATTCTTAGAAGAAATTAGTATGATACTTGTGCGTGTGCACGGATACCAGTATGATACGCACATTTGTTTGTAAAATATAATAAAGATAAAGTAAATTTTTTTTTAAAAAGGTAATAAATTCATCCCTATAAGATTTTCAATATATAAAAATATTTTAATGAATAATATATATTTTTATTTTGAATTGTTGTAAAAAATATTTAAACTAATAATAAAGTTGTTCTATTAATATTTAATATTTTGATTATTAATTTCATATTTTCGTTAATATTCAATAATTTGATCAATAACTTCATGTTTCCGTTAAAGTTTAATATTTTGATCAGTAACTTCATATTTCCGTAATTTGATGTTCCCGTTATCATAAAACTCTGATTTGCATTCTCTTTTTCCTAACGAATCATTCTCATTGTTAATGAAACATAGGTCGGCCACTTTGATTGTTGATCTTGAATAATATTCGAATTGTTGCGAGCTAAAGACACAAGTTCACGAGGTATTTGTCATACAATAGACTTTTTTTCACGCAACATGTCATACTTTTGGCATATGATTGCACACTATAAATTTCACACTATAATAAAATTGCTTAACCAAAATAGTTTAAATATTTTTAAAAGAATGCCATATTTTTATTTTTATTTGAATTATAAGTAAAAGTTTTTTATATATAAAAATAATTGGATGAATCGTATCTTTTTCCATATGTAAATAATATTTTTTGATATATAAATAATATTAAAATTATAAAAATATTTGAATCAATAAAAAGCGCATTCCATTTACTAAAAAAAATTAAGATTCACTCATTAATTTTAAAATATTTTAAATTAATTTTTAAGAAACATATATTTGTCTTAATTACATTAATAACATATATTTTCGTGTTTGAATACATACATTATTTTAAATATATTAAATTTTATTTTATTTAATTGTACAAAAATTATAATAACTCGTGAATTCGCACAAATTTTGATCTAATACCTGTGTGTTTGTATAGGTATTGGTGTGGTGTGTTAGACACGTTTGTTTCTAAAATATAATAAAATAAAAGGCAAAATGTTCATTTTGGTCCCTTGAATATAGGTCATGGTTCACTTTGATCACTTATCTTTTTTGTACCAAAATGGTCCCTTAAGTTTCAAAACGCAACCACGTTAGTTCTTTCGCTAGTGAAACGTTAGTGAAATTCAAAAAGCAGAGTCCAGGTGGCATTTGTCATGCTTGAAGTGGCTTGTTGGAGGCAAGTGGCAGAGAATAAGGACAGAAAATCTCCTAAAGCTGAAGATAGCATATGCATGTTCTGTTTGCCTAAAACGAAAGCCAAAGGAAAGAGGAAGAGGTTTGCGAAGAGGCTTGCGAATGTGATTTCAGGTATGTTAATCTTATTTTATCTTCGTTTTTGGATATTTGAAATGGGATTCTGAATATTTGGATTTTTTTTTATTAATAACCATGTATTAAAAAAATATTTCGCAAATAACCGAGTTTCGGAAAAAATTATGCAAATAACCATGTTTCAGATGGCTCCGCAAAGGAGGAGCCATCTCAATTAGCGCATGCACCTAGGGTTTTGCCCTAGGCGCCATCTCACTTGGCGCCTCCCTTGTCTTTTAGCCAAGTGAGATGGCGCATGCTCCTTAAAAATGAGAGGAGGCGCCATCTCACTTGGCGCCTAGGGCAAAACTAGGGCAAAATGCTGTTTTATAAATAATTCGTCTGTTTCTTTGAAATTTCTCACACTTTCTCGCACTGTATTTTTATTTTGTACTCCGTTATTTATGTTGGAGAGGTGGAGACCGGAGACCCATACATTTCACCTACCAATAGGTGAATGTACCATCACTCTCGAGGATGTGTACATGCTACTGGGCCTCCCTATCGACGGTAAGGCGGTGAACGGGTCGGTTCAACAACCCATCTCACAGTGTGAAGAACTGTTGGGTAGGGATATGGTAGAAGGTGGTGGAGCAAGAGGGCAGGGAATACTACTCACTGACCTGAAACGGCATTATGCAAGTATGGAATTAACTGAAAATTCCTCAGAATGACCGAGTAGTAAAAGCCAGAACGTATCTTATGATACTTTTTGGTACATTTTTATTTCCCGAAAGTACGGGAAATAGTGTA